ATAATTCCAAAGAAGAGGCATGTATTTTTGCCGTTTCAGAAACAGATTTATCTAACTCTTACCCTTTTTTGCATAGAATTATATTAAAAGCTAATTAAACGAGAGAAAAATGTTTTTTCCATTAGGAATTAGAAAATATAATTTTATATTTATCATTTATGATACATTGTTTTCTTTGTTATTCTCCACAACATTGAAAAATGATGGCAGGTTATTAGATCATACAATACCAGGTACAAAGTGAGTAGCTGGTGAATTTCGTTGAAAGAAAGAACTAGTGAATATAATTCTGAAACAATTTAAGATTCCTTGCCTTTAAAAAACCTACCTTAAGCATAGTGAGTTTGCTTTTTTTTTTTTTTTTTTTCTTTTTTGGAGGTGTAGTCTCACTCAGTCGCCCAAGCTGTAGTGCAATGGCACGATCTCAGCTCACTGCAGCCTCCACCTCCCAGGTTCAAGAGATTCTCCTGCCTCAGCCCCCCAAGTAGCTGGAATTACAGGCATGTACCACCACACCCAGCTAATTTCTTGTATTTTAGTAGGGATGGGGTTTCACTGTATTGCCTAGGCTGGTCTTGAACTCCCTAGCTCAGGCAATCTGCCTGTCTCAGCCTCCCAAAGTGCTAGGATTACAGGCGTGAGTCACTGTGCCCAGCCAGTAAATTTGTTAAAAGGCATATATTTCATTTACAAGCACTTCATATAATTTTTTAAAGTTACTTAAAATATGGGCCCAGCTGCGTGTTGTAAGAGTAGCAATGACCCAGGAGTTCAAAGACCTTGACTCTAGGCCAGGCACCAATAATAAATAATCAGATGGCCTTGAGAAAGTGACATCTCTGCTGGGTTTCAGTTTCCACATGAGTGACATGATTGATTTGGAGCAGGTTACTTCTAATATTCCATGCAGCTTCAAAATTCCACAACTGCATAATTCAGATTAAGGAATTTGGACCTAAATTTAATAGACACTGATCCAGTACCAATATATGCCAGGTAATATTATAAGCACTTTACAAAGTATTTAATGATATAATAATTTTAATTGAAGCATAGACCACATATGGGGTAATATTTCCTGCACTATAAAGTATAAACAAATGTTAATAATTGTACTAACATTCAATATAAGTTATTTAAAAAACAGAATAGAAATAAAATAATGCTTGGAATTGGAAGAAATATAGGAATGAAATTAGTTATTCCTTTTTTTTTAAAAGATAGCTGAGTAATTTAATATCAGATAAAGTAATATCAGAGCAAAGAAATTACCAACAATAAAGAGAGGCATTACATAATGATAGAAATGTCAGCTGAACAAGCTATAGCAGTATTAAATGTGAGTTCATTTAATAACATAACTTATTTTTTAATTTTTTAAAATCTTTATAGATTCAGGTGATATATGCAGGTTTGTTACATGGATATATCGTAGTGGTGGGGTTTAGGCTTCCATTGTACCAATCACTCAATTAGTGAACACTGTACTCAATAGGTAATTTTTCAGCCCTTACCTCCCGTCATCCTCCCTGCTTTAGGAGTCACCAGTGTCTGTTATTTCCCTCTATACATTCATATGTACCCACTGTTTAGTCCCCACTTATAAGTGAGAACATGCAGTATTTGATTTTCTGTTTCTGAGTTATTTCACATAGGGAAATGACCTTCAGCTCCATCCATGTTCCTGCAAAAAGCTTTAAACTGGCAAAAAAAATTATATGATCAAAATAAATGATTTAATTTTTATTTGACTTGAGAGAGTACACTAGATTACACATGACTTCACATCTGTCTCATTATAAATGACTTGGCTGCCATAAACTTGAATGTTCTTACATATTAAATCACATAGGAGAAAACCTTTGTGCATCAAAGACCTTCTGCCTGTATTACCTCTTAATATAATACTCATTATGTTATACATATTTCAAGTGCACAACTCATTTGGGAGAAACAAGCTGGAAACCATTATATGTTCACAGTAGAACTTCTAAATATCGGAGAGGCTTATTTCATGTATACAGTGGGCACATGGTTGCCTGAAGGTTGGGACAAAAGATAATACAGTGAAAGAGAGTTTGATTGGAAAACTACTAATAGGTTTCAGTTTCTAGGCCTGGTTGAACAGTCCAACTGTCAAGCTAAAGGGCTGGAAATGGATGGAAATTTGTCAAGCCAGGCAATTTCCACATCTTGACATGCTGCATGGACCGTTGTTCCATTACTTTGACAACTGCCAGGACTTCAAGCATTTTCATCCCCTCCCGAACCTCCTTTACTCCTACTCCTCCTTAAGGTCAAGCTCAAGCACTAACTCCTCTGAGAAACTCCTCCTGAGTCAACATTTCTGGCTCCCCTAAAAGGTCTTCCATCTACACAAAGAGTTGGACAAAGATTCCATAAATGCTTCTAAAACACCTGGTATAGATCTCTAAAATATTTACATTATTTAGCCTAACATATCAAATTACATTATTGGTCTATAGTCTTTCTCAGTGAACTGTGAGCTCCTTGAGAATAGGAACGATGTTTAACTCTTTTTTGGATCCCTAGAGTCTTGCATGATACATGACACAAATGACATGCATTGTTTGTTAAATCCATGAATGCATGGGTGGATGCCAGTGGTAAGTCATTTACTATTAAAATGGTTGGCACCACTGGATCTCCGTGCATTATAATTTGGTTAGGAACTGTGATGAGAATTGACTGTGCTCCAAGAAAGGCCATGGAGTGAAGGATGTATTTCTTGCACATTTGCAGAGTATCTTCATAATCAACAATTTGGTTTAGGTCATTCTCCCCCACTCCACACCGAGAATAGTAGAGAAATTGAGAGGAAATGAAACACATTAAAAAAAATCTATTCTGCCGGGTGTGGTGGCTCACGCCTGAAATCCCAGCACTGTGGGAGGCCGAGGCTGGTGGATCATGAGGTCAGGAGTTTGAGACCAGCTTGACCAACATGGTGAAACCCCATCTCCACTAAAAATACAAAAATTAGCCGGGCAAGATGGTATGTGCCTGTAATCCCAGCTACTCAGGAGGCTGAGGCAGGAGAATCACTTGAACCTGGGAGGCGGAGGTTGCAGTGAGCCGAGATCCCACCATTGCACTCCAGCCTGGGCGACAGAGCGTGACTCCATCTCAAAAAAAAAACAAAAACAAAAACAAAAAACAAAAACAAAAACCCACAAAATCTATTCAACAGATATTTTCTGAACAGTTACTATCCAAGGTGCTGTGTGTCCTAGGCAGACCCAGATTCTACCCTCAAGAAAAATATAGTTTAGATATTCAAGAAATTCACGTAAAGGAAGAAAGCAATACATGACATAAAAGACTTCAGTGTTTACCAAAATGAAAGAATATGTAATAAAGGCTATAGAATGGTCAGAGATGTCAGAAATAAATTTGCTGGATTCCCAAGAAGCTCTCACTGTGCAGGAGAGCTAGGTTAGATCATTATGGCTCACAACCTGCTCTCAGCTAGAAAGATCCTGGACCCAGAGACAGTCAAATCCAAGGAGATTGGCATACATGCACACCAAGCTTACCAGGGATTGAAAAACCAAAAGGCCAATGACTATGTGAACTGGATAATTATGATTTAAAGATGGGCCCAGAGTAAAGGGATCTGGATGGTACTGGAGATACTTCAGTCACACAACACAAATGTGCAAGCCAGACTTCCAACAGAGCCTTTCTCTCCAAGAGCATAGACCGGATGCAGTATTTCTCATTCTTAGACAGTATTGGATAAATAAGGATCTGGTAGATATAGATATATGCTATCAATGGTAACTATTATGAGATTTCAGAAAGTTAAAAGGTTGCATTCAGCCATAAACATCAAGGGACACTTTATGGAAGAAGTGGTAGTCCGACAATGTCTTTGAGATAGCTTAGAGTTTGCAGTGGTGACTTGGGGAAGAACATTGCAGACAGAGGGGAAAGCATGAACAAAGAAAGTGAGTGGTTTATTTTTGCTGGAATTCAGGGTATACAATGGAGGATAGTAGAAAGTTATGAGAGAAATTGGAACCAGATCATGGAGGGGTCTTGAAAGCTAGTTATGAAGTTTAAATGTTATTCTTTGTATAAAGGGGAGTCATCATAGCAAAAAGCATGATTAAGGCCCGGCATAGTGGCTCATGCCTATAATCCCAGCACTTTGGGAGGCTGAGGTGGGCAGATCACTTTTGGTCAGGAGTTCAAGACCAGCCTGGCCAATGTGGTGAAACCCCATCTCTACTAAAAATTCAAATATCAGCTGGGCGTGGTGGCAGGTGCCTGTAATCCTAGCTACTCAGAAGACTGAGGCAGGAGAATTGCCTGAACCTGGGAAGTGGAGGTTGCAATGAGTCGAGATCGCACCACTGCACTCCAGCCTGGGCGACAGAGCTAGACTCTGTATCAAAAAGAAAGAAAGGAAAGAAAAAAAAAAAAACATGATTAGAACTGTACTCTGAGAAAATTAACTTGGTTGCAGCGTGTGAGTTGGCGGGGAGGAGGGAATCCTGGCTGCAGAGGCCCTTGGGAAGCTACAAAATCTATATAGGAGTACTGAAACTAGGACAATATTGGTATAGGTGGAGCAGAAAGAGACTTGAAGGTACAAACCAGGAAGTATCATAGCATTTTCCTTGGACACACACTCCAAAGCAAAATATAACCTATAACCCATGTAACCCAAATATAATATAAAAGAAAATCATTCTTTATTTCTATGAAATTCTTCATTTATAAAGAACAGAACATTGGAAAACCATTGATTCATGTAGCCAATTTAATTGATTTTTAGATAGTCTAAATATCAAATTTGTTAAAAATGGAATTTCCAAAGCACCAACATAGTGGGTATCCAAATGGACAACTTCAGGGAAAAGAAAAAAATATCCTACATAAGTAAATGTTTTTCTTTCCCAAGACGACTAGGTGATTTCTCCAAATTGACTTTCTTTTAAATAGTTTCTAACACTAGCTAACCTAACTAATAGGAATGTTGCAGAAAACAGAAACAGGAGCTTTGTGAGAAGTTTGATTACCTGTACGGCATTTTGGAGGAGAGGAAGAATGAAATGACCCAAGTCATTACCCGAACCCAAGGAGAGAAACTGGAACACGTCCGTGCTCTGATCAAAAAGTATTCTGATCATTTGGAGAACGTCTCAAAGTTGGTTGAGTCAGGAATTCAGTTTATGGATGAGCCAGAAATGGCAGTGTTTCTGCAGGTAAGTCTCTTTTTGGCACCAAAGTAACAACCCAAAAGGTGGGTGCTGGAAAATTAGTTATCACATTTTTATTATTTTATGTACATTTCAGTTTTTATTTATTTTACCAACTAAAATATAAACCCCATATACTTACATATTCATCTAACAACTTAAAAACCATGTCTGTGATACTGCTTAAATCTAAGAGGGTTCTGGTATAAGACAGCAGTTATTTATGACATTTAGAAACTAAGCTATAAGATTCTCAGAGTCAACAAAGGAAATAATTGTCTTACCACTGTCTTTTATGGAAATGATTTAAGTAAGACTATCTTTTGTTTGCTTTCACAGAATGCCAAAACCCTGCTACAAAAGTAAGAACTTTTTATTTTATGGAAAAATGCATATTTTCACCTTTACCCAAGGCTATCCAATTTTAAACAGTGATAGAAAGTGACAACTTGTCTTTGTTGCAGAATCTCCGAAGCATCAAAGGCATTTCAGATGGAGAAAGTAGAACATGGCTATGAGAACATGAACCACTTCACAGTCAACCTCAATAGGGAAGAAAAGATAATACGTGAAATTGACTTTTACAGAGGTTTGTTATTCTTTTGACCATTTGGCCGAAGCTGCAGGTGTGTGAAAGCTGCCAAAGAGTCGGGTGGGAGGAAAGCGGGGATTCAGAATCACCTCCAGAATCAGTCGACAACTTTACAAGGATCATATCCAATGTGAAGCTCTATTTCATTACAGGATCACATCGTTTGTTGACGGTGTTCATTTAGCTTTGCATATATGGTGGCTTTTTTTTGTTGTTGTTTTTTAATGGACTTTCACTCTGTCGCCCAGGCTGGAGTGCAATGGCGCAATCTCAGCTCATTGCAACCCCCACCTCCCCGGTTCAAGTGATTCTCCTGCCTCAGCCTTCTGAGTAGTTGGGATTACAGGCACCAGCAACCACACCCGGCTGCTTTTTGTATTACTAGAGAAATAGGGTTTCTCCATGTTGGCCAAGCTGGTCTTGAACTTCTGACCTCAGGTGATCCACCTGCCTCAGCCTCCCAAAGTGCTGGGATTATAGGATGAGCCACTGTGCCCAGCCTGGTGTCTATTTTAATGTCAAGTTGAGTATTTGACTCTGGATAAGCAAATGCTTCATAATTGATGTAATGATGATATCTGAACTTCAATGCTATACACAGCGTTAGCCAAAATGATATTAAGTGTCAGAGGAGCAAGGTTAAAGATGAGATAAAACCAATACATAAGAGGCATCTGAGATAGATATTGCAGCACATCAACCTAATCAAACTTGAGAGGATAAGAACAGTAACAACTCATAGAATAAGTCACGGCCGGGCGCGGTGGCTCACGCCTGTAATCCCAGCACTTTGGGAGGCCAAGGTGGGCGGATCACCTGAGGTCAGGAGTTTGAGAACAGCCTGGCCAACATGGTGAAACCCCGCCTCTACTAAAAATACAAAAATTAGCTGGGCGTGACGGCCAACGCCTGTAGTCTCAGCTACTCGGGAGGCTGAGGCGGGAGAATCGCTTGAACCTGGAAGGTAGTGGTTGCAGAGAGCCGAGATTGTGCCACTGCACTCCAGATTGGGTGACAGAGCAAGACTCGGTCTAAAAAATAAATAAATAAATAAATAAATAAATAAATAAATAAATAAATAAAATAAGTCACAACCTGGACATAAACCTGGGTCTGTGTGATCAGTTATACTCCATGAGCTATAACCACATTCCTACCTTTTGGCCCAGAAATCCCATTTCTGAGATTTTATCCTGATTAAATAATTGAAAAGTGAAAAATAATCTTGGAGCTGACCAAAACTTTGATCACCTTGACTCAAGCTAGCCCATCTAGATGTTCACACCCCTCAGCTAGACCACTGGTAATGCTATGAGGCTGCACCAACATCCACAGACAAAATTTTAAAGGCAAATCTTCAGGACATATCTTTTTTTAAAATCGCTTAATATTGTCTGTCCTTAATGTCGCCTGAGGGAATATTAAGATCAGTGGGTCAGGAAAAGAGTCACAGCATTCCAGCACTTCGGGAGGCCAAGGCGGGTGGATCACTTGAGGCCAGGAGTTTGAGACCAGCCTGACCAACATGGTGAAACCCCATCTCTACTAAAAATACAAAAATAATTAGCCGGGTGTGGTGGTGTATGCCTGTAATCCCAGCTACTCCAGAGGCTGAGGCAGGAGAATCACTTGAACCCAGGACGTGGAGGTTGCAGTGAGCCGAGATTGCACCACTGCACTCCAGCCTGGGCGACAGAGCGAGACTCTGTCTCAAAAAATAATAAATAAATAAATAAAAGAGTCATGACATTAATTATAGCAAAAGTCAGTATTCACTGAACAACAGAGATAGAAAGCTAAAATGACAGAAGGGTTTTGTATGTTTTCTAAGATAGGGAAGAGAGTTGCACTTCCATTTAATGTGACAGAGATAAATAAGTGGCAATCCCAGGCCTCTGGGAGCTTGTAGATGTGGCAGACTGTAATAAAAATGCGGACGGGCTCTGGAAGGTGAGGGGCATGATGCACAGCAGAGGTGAAGACTTTGTACTGGGGAGGAGAACAAGGAAGATGGGGATGGTTCCTTCACATTTGTCCAGTCCACATTCCACTAGAAGCACAAAGTCCTGGCACGGCACACTTGGACCACTGTCAAATGTCTGTGGGAGAGAACTTCCCTAGCCTTGACCTTAATTGGGGCTATAAGCGCTGGCCATTAACTGTGTCCATGGCTGCAGGGATAGTTATAACAATTTACAAGATACCTTACCTTACCAGAAGATGAAGATGAAGAAGAAGAAGAAGGCAGAGAAGGAGAAAGAGAAGGAGAAGGAGAAGTGGGAGGAGAAGCAGTAGAAGTGGAAGAGGTAGAAATTGTTCAAGCAGAGTTTCCAGGAGAAGATGAAAGCCCAGAAAAAGCTTCAGAGCTCTCTGAGGTGGAGCTGCAGGCTGCCCCTGGGGCACTTCCAGTTTTCTCTCCAGAGCCACCTTCAGCCCTGCCACCTGCTGTGGATGCCCCTGTGACACAGGTAACCCCCACTGAGTCTCTTTCTGCAGGGCACATTGGTGTGTCTTCTTACTGAATAGCCTAAACAATTTACCCTATTCTGCCTTAAGAAAAAGATATGCCAGACATTTGTATGTAGTAGACAAAAGATTTCAGGACAGTTCCCATGTCGGGGAGAAAAGTCCTCTAGGTGATTCAACAGATTCTTCGTTGTTGTTGTTAGTTAACAAAACTTAATTTAATACAACTTTCCCACCAGTAATGCCCTCAGATCTGAGGCAATCTTTGTCTGGAAATCATATGTGTGTGTATGTGTGTGTGTGTGTGTGTGTGTGTGTGTGTTCATATCTGTGTGTCATATTAATTCATTGAGAGCTGATATCATAGGAACTGGGTCTGCTCTTTGCTACTTAGTGAATGTAGATGTAAGGTATAGGATGAGAAATAAATAGCACATAGGGTAAGAAATAAAAGTGATTATACTTTCAGAACTTTGAACTTTCTATAGATAATTGAGGGGGTAAATAGAGAAACTACACTAATTTATGTTCCTGTTGCTTACCCTGAAATACAATTTATGTATTTTTCCTTCAGTGAGCAAACAATGAAGCCTGGTTTTCTATGAATTTGTCATTTGATGAGATTGTGTGTTGACAGAATTGTTTAAAACGTATCTTAGGAAATAAGCTCACCCCAGATGCTGCATCTAATTGTTTGACCTCATGTTTCTAATATGTCACTGTCCAGTTTTCAAGCCCTAGTGCAGATTCCATGACACTTCAGCAGACAGGATCACAACCTGTTGAGTTTGCAGGCAGTGCAGACTCATCAGAGAGGAGTCCTGCTTCCACTACTGCTTTTGAAGTGGATTGAAACTCCAGAGGGGTATCTTAGAGACGGAATTGTATTTCCATGCTCTGTCTCCACAGGAAACCAGGCTAAAATGACATTTAAAGTCTAGAATTTTTCAATTCTGAGCATTCCAGTTGTACTAAAATTGAAAAAGGTATAGTAACTAAGTGAGGGTGGGACTTGATCAATAAGATTAATTTTTGTTTTTTTATAATGAGGCTTTGGGGACTCACATATAATGCCAACAAATTATTCTAGTCAATAGTTTGACCCTTTTCCCATGTCTGATATTTTATAAGCAACATTCACTGAGGTTTCTGCTTTCTGCCTACCTGGGCTCCCAACAAGTGAAAGACAAGCTCAGAAAAGAAGAGGGCACACATCCAGATGCTGGACAGAGGGGCACTGTGGACACCATTCTGCCCTTAGTGCTTCTGGAGGGTGGGATGAACTAAAACGGCCACCAAGGCACTGCATGCAGGGAGCGCGCAGTGTTCAAACCCAAAGGGAACTAAAATCGACTGCTTTTTCTTCTTCTTCTTTTTTTTTTTTTTTTTACTTTTGAATTTATCTGTTCTGATTAAGGGGGAGGTTGTGCCCACTGGCTCTGAGCAGACCACAGAGTCTGAAACTCCAGTCCCTGCAGCAGCGGAAACTGCGGATCCCTTGTTTTACCCTAGTTGGTATAAAGGCCAAACCCGGAAAGCCACCACCAACCCACCTTGCACCCCAGGGAGCGAAGGTCTGGGGCAAATAGGGCCTCCAGGTTCTGAGGATTCGAATGTGCAGAAGGCAGAAGTGGCAGCAGCCGCAACGAGTGAGAGGGCAGCTGTGAGTGGTAAGGAAACTAGTGCGCCTGCAGCTACTTCTCAGGTTAGTGATGATGCACTTGTGTCTATGTTTTCCCGCGCCCCCTAGGGTCCCACTGGAACAGGCCACAGCAAGAAGAAAAAGGGCTTTCAAAGGGGCAGAGAGAAACCTCAGCCAGGGGAAAAGTACAGAAATGACTCATCCCCCAAATGTTGGCTTGTTTTGAGCTCTATATAAAAGAAAACATAAAACAAAACAAATTTGAGTTCACTCTGCTGGTGCGTGGTGACCTCACACCTGGCTTCCCAGGGGAGGGGCGCAAGTGAGCCTGGCCCTTAGGCATGCTGCTGAGCGCTGCTTCCTCTGCAGTGACTGGCTGTGTCCCTCCCTAGTCCTCCTTACCAATGGCCACTTGCCTTTGCTCAGCCTTCCCTGTGTCCTCCTTGGGCTTCCAAAGACTAATCCCCTGCTTTTGTGTCATTCCCAGCAACCCCCAAGGAGCACACTTGAATTGAGTTTTAAGTCTGTTCTGGAGAATAACCTCTGATTCATGGATTCTTGGAGTGTGCTTGCTACAGCTAGACAGAGACAGTGTTGGCTTGATTAAACCTGTGCTTCCTAAGCATGTGCTCCTGGAAATGGAAAAAGCACAGGTGCTTCCCCATAGAGATTTTTTTCAAGAGACTCTTTCTTTATATAATGAGTTTGAAGTCCATGTCTTCTCCCTAACACTTGGTTAGATGTTTGCATATCTCGAAGAGTCCACAGAAGAAATCTTTTACAATTTCTTCACAAGGAAGAATGTTCATGGTGACTCCATACTCATGAGCATTCTTAAATGATGTGTGAGGTGTGAATGTTGCCCAGTCAAGAGGCTGCCTGAAAGCACTCTCCAGTTTCATGCTCCTGGGTCATTAGGTGATTGATTATGAACCACAAACAACGTGTTCTCAAAAATCAGAAAATGACTTATTATTTTGTTTGTATCTGCTCAAGTAGACTTCAGTTCCAGGAGGTAATAAAAGGAAATGATTTTGGAAAATTAAAAGTAACATGGTTTGGGGTTGGATGTTTATTTTCACAGATAAAAGTGACAAAAATAAATGTTTGGTGTGAAGAAATCTTTTGAGGTAGTTTTTAGGTAAAAGATGCAGTAGACTGATTATTTCTAGAAAATGTATGGCAATTCTTATACATGGTGGTAGAAGCTGAGTGCGGAGGGGCTGTTTTCTGAAAACAGCAATGCACTACCCCATGAAGAGCATGCAGTAGGGCTCAAACCAAAACGAAAAGTCCATTGAAATAATGTTGAAAATAATTATTTGTGATAATATCAGTGAAGCTTTCTTCTTGTTTTCTCACAGGAGTTAGTAATCTGCCTAGCGCTTTTGGCTTTTCTTATACTTCACTACATCTGGAGTCAGATTCAGTGCTTGATTTTTACTTTAATGGGTAGGAAATATTTTCTTTTCCCTTGACTAACATTTCACATAGTTTCTTCCATAATGTTCCTCTTCTGTAGGCCCAGAGATTAATTTCTCCCCAAATCTTGAGGCTCAGTCCTCCCAAAATAACATTGTTCTCAGATTATACTGGAGGTCTCAAGCTCCCACAATGCAACTGCCTCAAGACCTCTTCCTGAGGAGAATTGCTCCATTATCTATTCCTGCATGGAGGGGAACCTTGACCGAGAACAGTGACTCCATGGGCAATTATTCAGTAATCCAGGAGGAGCAAACCCTCCAGAATGGTCATTAGGGGAGACCAGTTTCAAATGTCCATAATGCCGTGAGGACTTACTGCTTGTAGAGAAAGGAGCAGCAAAGGACTTCTGCAGGAAAATGCAGGTTTCCATAGATTAAGAAGAAGCATTTCATCTGCTTACACCAGAGATGCCCAGGAGGTGGCCAAGTGACTCCTGGTGGGATGCTGTTCTAGGCAGTTCCTATGCAGGTGAGCAGGTGGGTTCTCTTTGAATCCTCAGACTCTACAGAATTTCTCCTGGGAGAGGAGGTCCCTGAGAGAAAGATGCCCTGAACGAAGAATTATCTGGGGAATTGCAACCACATGAGACCTGAATGAATTAACAGCGAGAGGATCAATGTGCACTTACCAGCCATCAGGAATTAGAACCAAAGAACTAAGCCATAAAGTCATCAAGCAGTCTGTGTATATTATTTTCTAGTCACCCTTCTCATAGCCAAGCCTTTGCTTGATTGCTGTTATGAGATTTGCTTGAGGACTGACATCCTAATCCTTTAATACCCTTTTGAAATTTCTCAGTTTAATTAATAATATTTAAAGAGCCCAACTTCCATGTACTTTTGTGTAAATGACCCTGCTAGGCCTGAGACCCAGCTCCCTGTGCCTGTAACTCACAGGCAGTTCAGGGTCAGTGGTGCTCAAAGGCCTCAGCTATTTCTGGCTCACTGACTTTTCCCTGGGTTGACATTGACTCTTCTGGAAGCTCCCATCATAGACTTTCTGCCTCGTTAGCCATGTGCTTAGCAATGGCGGTGGTGTCTCCATTGGTCTCTGCCGTGTCTGCAACTGTGTGTGAGCAGGACCTGCCCGCAATGTCAGCTGGAAACCTGTGCACCCTAGAGTGTCCCGAGTGTCCTTACAGTCTGCTCAGCTGCTCAACAACTCCAGACATTATCTTTGGTAAAGAAGAGTGGGAGGATGTATTGGCCATGGACTCAGGGGGGCAAATGGTGAGAGAGAAAACTCCATGCTTTATTGGAACCAGGACCTAATTGTGGATCTGAATAATTGTCTGAAGGGTTCTGTTTACAGTCCGAGAATTCGGGTTTGGGGCTTTGTCACTACATATATGTCTTGTATTGCTTCTCTGAGGCTGCAGAGGGAGTGTCATGCTTCAAGGCTGCCATCCATTGAGCCCATGTCATGTATGCTGACATCCACATGCCTGCCTGGGGAGAGGAGGGTGGGTCAGGTGGAGCAGGTGCGGGGAGGGTGTTGACATCCAGTATTGCAAAGAACCTTGCTGTATAGTTCTTGGTGTTTGAGGAAGGGCCTTTCACATGGAGAAGGACACCTATTCATGATGGAGTACTACTCTTTGATCCCAGAAATGGGACATGGGCAGGTTGATAGAGACCTCGCTATAGCAGCAAATTCCCAGCCTCTGAGAATTTTTTGCAGGCCTGATTCAGCTTCACCACTTCAGAACCCAGTTTACCTGATTCGTATTTGTCCTGTTCAAGGTTAGAGTGTTGGAATTTCACTTTTCATCACTAGGCTTACCTTGAACATTTAGGATGTGGTAAGAGTTCTCCTTGATTCAGTGGTGGTCTTCTCTCTCTTTACTAGGTGGTCCCATGTCAGAGTAATATTGCCTTTAAAACTCAGAAGCATCTCAGGCTCACTTGCTGACCTGTAAACTATATTCAGCCCACAACAGCTGAACTGCAAACCCTTTAGAAGCAAATGCTCTCTTTCTTGGTGCTTTCCTCATATCCATGTACACAGTGAAACATGCCCTTGATTTTACTGCCTGTGGTTTCTGGTGCTGAACAATTTCTACTTTATCATGTACCTTCCCTCTTCACCCAAGTACACAGGCAAAAAACCTTTCATGGCAAAAAACAAATGTCAGCTTCCTCTACCAGTGATGGACACGGCCACTACTTCTTGTTAGATCAGAAGAGTGTTGTAGCTCCCCCTTGGGCATTCTCTAAGAAAAAGCAAGGTTTGGATTCAGTCTTGTGGTGAATTTGAACTCATCAAAGGCCCCAGTTTCCTCGGGCTTCTACAGGATGCACTTGGAACCTCCGCGCACCCCAGTCCTCCCAGAAAACTGTGCAAAGTCCTCACTCGTGAACTGATCTTTATCTGCAGAGTCATCCTCTCAGTTTCTGCCCTTCTCAGCCAGGCCCGCTGTGTTCTCAGACAATGCAAAGAGAGTTTGGTAGAAGTAAACTTTGATTTACTTCATATGTTAATTTTAAAATTTATTTTGAAAGAATTACACCGTGCCCTAGTCAACCTCAGAAAACAAGGCATGAATAAGGTGGGAGAAGGATGCTGTGAGACGGGTTGACTGCCTTGGAAGCAATCTCTGTAAGGCCGTTTCTCTCGGGCATGCCTTCTTATGGCCATTGCTTTTCCAGTCTGCTTCCACCCCCCACCCACTCCCCATGGACAGTTGGGCATTTTATTGGGGCTATGTGTGGCAATTAAATTGTTATAGAGGTGGGAGCAGCAGCAATGAAAGCCCCCTCCCAGTTCTCCTTCCTCCCTTTCCGGTGCAGCTTAGTGGCCTCACCTGGAAGAATTTGCCCAAACCATTTAGTGGGAGCTAAGCAGGGAACAGGCGTTTCCAGAGAAATGTGTCTTTATTTGTTAGATTAACTCAGCAGCTGCTCTGGCTGATACTTGAGCTGGACACAGCAGCTGCCTCAAGGTAAGAGGATCTCCCCACCATGAGCGCGCGTGCACACACACACACACAGACACAAACACTCCAGCCAGAGCCAATTGCTTTGGAGATGGGGACTTTGGCATTGAAATCTTTGCAATTTCTGCCTCTATATAGAACCACAGCTCAGTATTTCACCAGAACACAAAGTTGCTGTGATAAGAGGCCCTAAAAGCTTTACTACATCATAGCGATTTGTTGTTTCAAAAATATCCACTTTTCACATTCTATTCTTCAAGCCTGAAAAATAGACAAACAAATTGGGTAGAAATTTTGCCAAAGCTCAAGACTGCGGAAGGATCCAGAAGTTAGAAGAAAGGACTTCAGATCTGGTCCTGGAGCTGCTTCGGTGTTTGACTCTGGGCATTTAAGTTCTTTGAGCCTCAGTTTTCTCATCAGGGAAATAAAGAGACTACTCAATGAATAGATTCATTTATTTTCACACGAGGCAGTGTAAAATCTAGTACTAGGAATTTTATAATTGGTTTCAGCTATTTTCATTGGGAGGGTTATGGACTTAGGCCTAACACAAGTCATTATGAGTGACAATAATTACAACAGATTCTCAGTGAGAGAGAGAGTCCATTGCATTTCTCAAAGTACGTTTCTTGACTTGAAGCTCTTACATAAATCCCAATTTCCCAAACCATTTTCCAGATTTCTCCCTAGGCATTCATTTAGCTGAGTGTTTACACAGCTGCTATTACCTCCTTAAGATTGCATGAACTCCACATCCATGATGACTCCACTCTGAAGTCACCTAAAGGTACTTACAGACCTCACTGCTCAGTATAGCAAAGACAGGATGTACACAGCAGAGGCAGACACAGAACATTCAATGGATGAAGAAATGAAAGATGTAAAAAAAAAAAAAAGAAAGAAATGAAAGATGTGATTTTTTAAATCAACTTTATTGAGATATACATACACTAAAATTTACCTTTTAAGTGTACAGTTCAGTGAGTTTGGACAAATATGTAGCATTGTATAGCTACCACCACAGTTAAGACGTAGAATATTTTCATCACCCCAGAAAGTTCCCTCATGTGTCTTTACCATTATATCCCTTCCCTGCATCCTTGCCTCTGGCAACCACCAATGCGTTTAATTATAGTTCTGCCAGTTCCAAATGGTCCTGTGAATGAAAACATACAGTATTGTATGCTTTTATAACTGGCTTTTTTTTTCACTTAGCATAATGCTTCTGAGATTTGTTTATTTTGTGGCATGTATAGTATCTCAGTTCTTTTTATTCCCAAGTGGTATTCTATTGTGTGGGTATGTCACTAGTTACTTATCTATACATTACTTGATGGATGTTTGTGTTCTTAGCAGCTTTGACTATAATAAATAAAGCTGCTGTGAACACTCACATATAGGTCTTTGTGTGAATACATGTTTTCATTTCTCTTGAGTAAATGAAGGAGTGGAATTGCTGGATTGTATGGTAAATTTGTGGTTAACTTCATAAGAAACTGTCAAACAGTTTTCCGTGGTGGTTATTCAATTTTTTCTGTTTCCACCAGCAAGGTAAGAGAGTTCTACCTACTCTACGTTCTACCAGTGCATGGTATTGTGTCAATCTTTCATATTTCAGCTATTCTGGGTGGATGATTATGCATGATATCTCTTTATGGTTTTAATTTGCATTTTGACAAAGACTAATGGTTAGCACCTTTTCTTGTGCTCATTGATCATCTTTATATATTCTTTGGTGAAGTAACTGTACATATCTTTTGCCCAACTTTTTATTCAGTTGTTTATCTTCTTAGAAGTTCTTTATGTGTTCTTGATAAAATTTCCTTATCAGATAGATGTTTTGCAAATTATTTCTCCCAGTCTGTGGCTTTCTCTTTCATTTCTTTTAATTTTTAGTTTTTTTTATTTCAATATGTTTTGGGAGAGCAGGTGTTGTTTGATTACATGAATAAGTTTTTTAGTGGTGATTTCTGAGATTTTGGTGCACCCAAGCAGTGTACACTGTAGCCAATGTGTAGTCTTCTATCCCTCC